TCACATATATACGTGTCTCACAAACGACAGTTGTGTGTAGAGTGACGAAATTCCTTATCGCAACTGAAAAAACATCATTAAACCGCCTCTCATTTCAGCTAACGACTGCTTCAGATTAAAAAAACATATGAATTCTACAATTAACGAATATTCTTTACTTAAAAATACAGAATGAAATCATGAAACACTAAAGTCGAAAAACATATTTCCAAAAAACAGTACATCAGAAGCGAAACGAGGATGAGAGTAAAAAAAAATAAAATTATATGAAAGGAAAGAGAAATATGATCTATGCGAAAAACATCTTTCCAAATTGGAAATAACGGAGAATCCATGGCAATACCGTCAACATGTTGTTGAATGTGAAGTGTACTTTCATGGTGCCTCTTAGAAGCAGCTCTTTAAGACTAATAATTGCAATTCCGATATTGAATTGCTGTCTGAGTATTTGTTGGCATAGAAATTCCACACTCTGCATGAGTAGTGGCACATTGGTGAAAAGTGATGCGACATTTGCTCCCTGTTTGCATTCGCATCATTAATTGAAATGAATCCAAAGCCGTCTTCAACACTATGATTACACAATTTCTTGTGTAACTGTTGGAGGGGTTCAACTAGCCTCTTTGGCACTCCATAGTAGTAGTTGAAATTAGACATGTCTAAGACTGGAAGCAGAGGAATTCTTGGTTTATGTACTTTAGACACACTATATAATCGTGAAGCACTACTTCGAGTGGGTTAAAGAAAGTTGTAGGCTGCCTCAGGGAATACTCCAATTTTCATCAGCTCTTCAAGCGTGTTCGTTAGTTGCTTCTCAGCCATTTCATCGAAATCTGTTGAGTTGTTAAAGCATCTGGAATTTCGTTTAGTAGACTGAAAGCGAATTCATTTTGGCAACCTACTCACATTTTTGCAGGTCGTTAAACACAGAAAATTGTTCGCTTAAATGTGTTGTTCTAAACACAGAAAAGACAACATGACTCTTAGGACTAAACGAAAATACTGGATCCATGAGTGACAAGGCCACAAGTCACTAACCTAGGAGTGCGTTGGTAAAATAGTCATTTCAATGACAAAATACACAGTACTTACTTGGAACTCACACTGTAAACTATATTACACTTATAATAAGTTACTATACAGAACAATAAAACTCAATTCACTTAAGTGTTAGTGTGATAATGAGGAGATCCAAGGATGTAAGGGTTAAGCTAGCAAGAAGTTGCAAAACAGCCGAATCACACTAGCAGTTCCCTGATTCACCAGTATACTATTCTGCCTGGTATCCTGACGAAAATCCTATCTCTTGGTCCTAAGTTCTGTACTATTTCTTCCACGGTTTTCAAATATGACACAAAGGTGCAATTCAAAAATCTTGCCATTCGGAGACACAGGACTTGCTTTCAACGTCTTATGAAAAACTCGAACAATTCAAGTCTACTATGCGGCATTGTTAATTCCAATACAAAAGAAAGTAGTGCAGTTAAAGATATATGATAACACATGCATGGAAAATATAACTAAATCAATTGATTTAGAGATTCTGAAGTTTGTCCCCTTATATCGAGGGGACCGATTTAATGTTTTCTGTTTTATAATAATAATTGGTCGATTTTGACGGTAATGAAGTTTTAACATCAGGCAATTGCAAACAGAGAGGCTAGGATATAGAGAGTGTAATGTTGTGGAAAATTTACAAGAAACGGAATTACGTCCATTTTTATCGCTTATATACATGAATATCCAATGATTTCTAGTTTATATCGTCCTATATTGTTGCATAAAAAGTGTCCCTTTTCGGCACACATGGTCGGCATGCTAATTTGAGCTACCCTAAATGCTACAGAAATCTTCCCTAAAGATAGGGTTGATAGGAAACTGGAGTAATCTCATGCAACACTCTTACGCAATGGATATCCCGGAAGGTTTATTTGGAGAAACATGGAGAAGAAAACTACTCGAAAGAATACACAGCTCAACAGTTCTGCTTTCAAAGGTCATACTAATGCCGTACTACTGTATTTAATACCCACGGACTAACGCTTAATATTTTCCATAGAAATGATTCAAGGATAAACTAGTGCCTGTATCTATCTCGATGTGCATCGACTCGTCCATATGTGATGCTGACTACTTAGGAAGTTGTAAGTGTTCTCCTGAAACGTATAACTGAACACTACCCAGTTTACTTGATAAAAACGAGCAAAGGATGACAATGTGTATTCGAAAATGTTATGTTAAACTTCTTTCTTTATCTTGATTACAGTGTGGTCGTGTGATACAGGCAATTCGCTCCAACGGAATATGATTCTCACAGTAAGAATCATTGAATTTTCTGGTTTTATCGTCCGAATAGCAGTCCCACAGTTCATTACAGCATTAGCAACAGAATACTTTGTATATTTGAACATTTTATTTCATGTCGTTTAATCGAAACTAAAATCACAGGCTCAGTGATTGGTTCAAGAATATAAACTGTATAGGTATAAATAGCTTGGAAATATACCTTGGCTTCCATGTTTCGCCTTCTGCTGTTAGAACAGTATTGTTCTCTTTGTTTAGTTCGATTTTAATTCATTCCACATCATTTCATCTACGCATCTCCATTGTTATCATCACCACACTTTCAATTTTTTGACAACACTTAACCTACTTTTAAAATCATAATAGCAATCAATCAGCTTTAAAGATTTTGTGAATCATCCACTTCAACTCCGTCTACTTAAATATAATGTTGATTTTCAAGTATTGGTTTGTGCGGATTCTGTTTGATTGGTTGGAAGATTTCATCATGAGCTGACATTGGTTAGAGTACTATTGGGAAACCAGCTGGGAATACTGGACAGCCGTTTCGTCCTAGTTTGGGACTCTTTGGCTGTACGCGCCAACCGCTACGCGCCGAACCCAGGACCTTCTTGTTACAAGGTGAGCTCGTAGACCATTAAGACACTGGGACCCAATCCAATGGCCAATGAACTCTAACTTCTGCCAATTCACGACATAGCACGACCATTTAGCAATGTCTTCGATGAGAAAACTGTACTCACCTTCGACCTGCTGTACGCTACTGATCACGACTTTCCACTAGAACCCCAGATAACTGTCTGAATAGGGCCAGTCACTAGTGAGCATCAGATCATGTTAACGATCTTTCTTATCATATGTATATAAACTAAGGGACAATTTTTTTAGTGCTACTTGATGACTTTTTCAGAAATATATAAACACCAAGTGAACACCTTGAAAGCTGAAGTTGTTGAAAAGAAATATTCCTGCCTTGAACAAAAACTTTGTCTATCTAAATGATTTCAAATCAATTTCGAAACTATGAAAGCATAAGTTGTAGGTTAGATCAGAGAAGTTTACTGAAGTTATTATAAGAATTAAAACAACTTGTACATAGCAACATTTTATATATTATTAAATTCGATTCCCACAAGTTTTCATGCACACTGACAAAAGTATCAATTGCATAACACAGATAACTGGAGAAAAAACTGTACTGTAGGTTAAATTACTCTGCTCTAAATAGACGAATCTTTGAAAAAGAACCAACTTGAAGGCAAAAATACAAATATTGAATAATAATTTGTATGTTGTATCTAAGACTATAGAAGACCACGGAGACGCTGGCAGATAATCAGGACGAAATCCATAATAACGAAGACTTTGACGTACAACCTATACGAAAAACAATAAATACCTCTAGTTACAACGAGAAACACAAAGATTATGCCAGTATGTAAAAATACGACTTACTTTATGATAGTGTATACGTCTGAAAAATACCACAAGGTTAAAGTAAAGTACTAAAACATCTGCACACCATAATGGCAAGAAGATCCACCAGAATATTATAAATCTTTCATTACTTTTCAATAATAAACCAAGAATTTCCTCATCCCAAAGAACAGCTGCAATCAAGCTCCAGATGATTCCCACTATGTGAATGCAAAGCTCTAAAGGACTGATATGAAGCCAGTTAATCAGTTCATTAAGAGATATAATCATCCAATGGATTAAAAGAGTACACCATTTATTCAAAAAATGTTGACAGAATCAAACTGATTAAAATTGATGTTCAAATTCTGAAAAACAAATATGAATCAAGTTAGAAAACAACAAACGAAAAACGAGTTAAACGAAATAAAAGACATTCATCCGAAATACTAAATTATATTAGATAAACTTTTATACCCATAAATGACACTAGTTTTCCGTCTAAATATCTTTACATTATCAAGGAACTGAATAAAGAAAGGAAAAATGGGAGAATACCACGTGACTAACTTGAAGATAAGCACAAATCGATAGCGTAACATCGAGAATTGACAACTAGTTGCAATTTTACAATATTCGACCTAATGGTTGAATGACAAACAGGCTCGCAGACTAATCAACAAGTTGCGAGTGTACATAAGTGGGGAATCCCAGGTACTCCCTTGTACCAAATCCCGACATTTCAAAGTCTACAACCAACCAACTCCACGTTTGCCAAAGAAATAATTCGAAAGTAGAGATGAATTATTTCCCTTACTGCATAACGTCTCCATATTGCTCAAACGGGCCGTGGAGTCAACATGATGAAATGTCAGTCTATGCAGAATAGGCCAGAAAACCTATTCTTCGAAATTCGATTGTTTCTATGATAAGGAATAACTGTACACTGCTGAACGTGACAATAGTTTACAATCTTAGCGTAAACTAATTACGCACAGAATAACCTATCTTCCGTTTAACAGTACATCAGCCGCTTTAAGGCATTAAAATAAAACATTTGTAAGAAACAACATTAATACATTCAAAATAAAACAAGCATGTAACGAATATTATATATTTTTTTCTTTGGAAAAATGCAACAAATGGAAAGGCTTTGGACAAAAGAATTCACAAAAACATCAACTAGTGAAGTACAAAGAGTTACCACCACCACCACCGACTGTTTTAGGTAAGTTATTAGTAATGTTGTTTTTCAGATTGAAACGAACAGTCGCTTGATTCTAACTACAGTCGCCTAGTTCCACACTATCTTCTTCGTCGGACAATTCAATAATTATCGGCTCATCGGACTGAGATGTACTTTGAAGTCTAACACCTTGACAACTAATGGCACTACGATTGAGTATCTCCGACAGAAGTTTGGAACAATCAACAACACTTTTTTTATTACAAGAACGAGTGAGTTCCCGTGAAATTAATTCATTGTCAGTAGTTGCACTATGGTCACCATTATTAAAGTTATCCGTTTGTATATTGTTCGATAAATGCGGTAAGGTGGCCGCAACCATACCATTCCTACTTTCATGCGGTAAATTTGCGGTGATTTTTGCTTTGTTTGCTCCACAATTGTCGTTACATCCTTCTATCATTCCTAATGACGCTGGCATACCGGGAAGATCAGCATACATATCTTCAAGTAGATCCTGAAGATTATGAACCGCTGAAAATGAAGGGAAAGAAATTGAGTGATCCAATTCTCTTCAATACATCATTCTCAAAAAAAAACGTGTTCGAGATATAACTGTGACAAAAATTACACTGGAACTACTGGTGTAACGACATAAGACAGAAGAGATATTTATAGATTTTTATGTCAGTTATTGTCAGAGGAGAAGCATCGTCTTCTGATTGGTTGTTTTCTAGCTTAAAGTTATTCTATACTACTTGTTGCCGTTTCTCAGAAAGTTAGGCCATATATCCGCAAATCGAATTTGCACACGTCAAGTCTGTTGTGCAAATACCAGGGATATGGAAGATAGTATTACCAACAGTCAAATCAGACGAGGATAATAAATAGTCTCAAAATTCTATTTCAATTCACATTAACTATAACATTCTTATTTTGACTATAAAAACACTCATCTTATTTCCCATCTGATTGTACTTGATTGATAACACTTATACTATTATATCTGAATGTACACTATCCTGTATTAACTTTTATTCCAATATCTAATCGATTCCACACATGTCTATAAACCAAGGAAAAAGTTGTGTGAGTCACTTGATATGATTATGAGCAATAGTTTGTCAATATTACTGTATGATTTATCACTGTGTGATTTATCAAAATAAAATCTTACCTATAATGGAGTTATACTCTACCACAGTGCCCAAGTTTTATGCTTATATCAATAAGTCTGCTGTGACTGATTGGTGAGTGCCTCAAGGTTAGGTTTTGTTATGGTTTTTCTCATGATCCCAATTCAGGAAGTAGCACCGACGTAAATTGCTGTCTACAATTTTGGCTTGCAGCCAGCTCTCACCACACTTGTCTAATTATCAGCAATCAAATAAAAACAACAGAATGATGATGATCAGATAGCCAGCAGTTTTGTTCTTTCTACGCCTAGGCTTTTTTTTCTTTTTCTCTTTCTCTCTCTTAGAAAGTCAGGCGTCAGGGTATGTAAGCTTCAGTCATGATGCTCTAGATGACAATTATTTACTTTTAGGAAAGATTGAGAAAGTAAAACTCTTTTACAAGAAGCACAATAAAATACTGTATACATTACAGAGAATCTGTGTTAGGCAATATTATTGAATACTAACCTGCACGTGTCGCTTCTTTTGCTTTCGAATCATTAGGTAAAACAATCAATTTATTGCTATCCGATAGAATTAATTCGTTAGATAAGAGAACAGCTAGATCATCTTTAATACGATCTGAATCGAATGATGTCGTGTCTGTGCAGCTAGTAACAACAGCTTCAGCAACGTCATTTAAAGATTGTTCGATAATTAATGCTTGCTCAATTAATTTTAGACGATCCGTTAAAAAATTGTGAGCTTCTATATCTTCCGTGGGAAAACTTTGAGATGCAGTTGCTAAACACCAATCAAAAAAGTAGAATCTGAATTTATCCAAAAAAGTTAAGGGATGAATTCAAAATGGGTATTAATGTTATCATAACAGCATTCAATAAACGGTTGAGATTGGAGAATTATTGATAAAAGGTCACTGACATAAGTTTTATTCATGAGAATTTTATGCGGCTCAGATGTACAAAAAAATAAATGAATTTATGAACAGACACTATTTTTCAATTTGAAAAGCTTAAAATCTTTTTTTCCAATCATCTTCAATTAACACTGATATATGTGCTGTAGGTGACAGGGTTTTCTTATTGTTCCTTCTTTTCAAAAAGACAGTCAGAGACAACGAACTGCTAAATTTTAGTTAGGCCTCAAAGCCAAAATTGAGAGAAAAGATACTGCAAGATTTAGCGTTTGATGGTAGAGGCGTGATAACCAAGCTTTGTAACACCATCTTTAGCAATAACTTATTGCCATCTCATCTTCTCTAACTTTAGTCCAACCGCAATAGAGGAGTCTTTTGATTACTGATCGATTTCACACTGTATTTTCGGTACAAGTATAAAATTCTCAGCATGCGATATCGGTAGCCTAAATTTTGCAGTCTGACCATTGATATCAGGTGTGCATCGGCAGGGGATCAAACCCCGGACCAGGTGCATGGGCGGCGAGAATCCTAACACACTGTGCCACCAACGCATACTTGCAAGACGATCTGTTCCAGGCAGCATACATCTTTGATTCATTACAGTATAGGAATTGATGGTTAACGGCAACGAAATATGTTGAAAAAGTTATCTAACAAACAGTTTTAACAACTAAATGGTAGAGTATACAAACAAAGTATACCGAAACTGCATTATCATAATAGTATATGAATTATTTCTTGTTTTGTAACGGTTGAAAACGTGTTTTCTTTACAAAAAAAAGTCCTCAGTGTTAGTAATATTAATATTCAACTGGTATATCCAATCAGGAACGAAATGAAAACGAGTTAGAGAAACAATTGTCAATTTTTAAAACAAAAAAAACAACATCTAATTAGTTACTGGAAAACTACTTCTTCCGCGTCTTAGTAGCTTAAAATTAATACATCTGTTGGTTAAAGTGACAGTATACGTTGCTATAACGGCTTGCATAACAAACAAATCACTTCAGATAGGATTTAATATACGTTTCATCTTACATAGAAATTATTCATGAGATACGTTTCATTCCCAAAATAAAACTTATATCCGCAACATTATCATCCCAGAGAATGGTATTCAGGCTGTCCATATAAAAAACGCAACACATATGAACCTGCGGACGCTAAGGAAATTTATTGATCTAATTAGAACAACTTTCTAGAGTTCAAAAAACCAGAATTTTGTTCAGGTACTAGACAAAATTACAAACTTCACTAAATGGGAAATTCTGACAGAAAATATCATACATCTGGTTTATATGGCTATCCAACGCATATCAGGCTACATTACTGAAACAAGGGAATAAAAAGAAGAAAACACGAAACTATTGCTTACTCGATTCAGAAAGCATAAGTCCCCTCATGGTGTTCAGTACACCAAACACACCCAATTTTAATATAACGAAACGTGGATCAGCGAGTATATCACTCCATTTGGCATATCCATGAACAAGTATGCCAGCAAGCAACCAATAATCATGACGTGCATGCCAAATTTCAAAGTTTCCAGCCATCTCTGATTGGGAGCGAATTATTTGACAGACATTGTTGATTTGTGCACATTCATCATTCCACATACAACGCAATAATGATAAGCCTCCTTCATGTATGGTAAATTTAAATTCAGAATTTTCACCCTATCAGTAGACAAAAAGTAAAGGTATATACATATACACATTCGTTGATAGGAGAAAACAACAGAGGTGTTTATCACTTCATAAAAGTTTAACCAGACATTTTTCCCAATGCGATCATAACTTTTTGTTTTCAACCGGTTACTCACTCGCAAGCCTAAACCATATTTCACTACCGGATAGCTTATACGCAGCTAAGATATACCACAGAACAATGTGCAAACAGATTATAGTTCGAGCTGGAATAATAATAAAAATAAGCATGAGTAGTTTCATGATTATTACTATAAAACAAAAAGAAATCAAAGTCCACATTCACTGTAGTGCACCAATTGTAATCAGCGGCAATAAGAGAAACAGGACTAACATCAGTAGGAATACTTGTTGCACCGTTGATATCTTCATACTGTAACACTTTATTTCTAATAAGAGCCAACATTGCAATACGTGATAGCACAGCAGGAACGCACAAGTGTTCTTTAGGTAAACCATCGGACCACCTAAACGGAAAACATTCTAAAAGTAATATATAAAAATAAAATTTTAAAAATTTTTTCTACCAATCAAAATTAATATTATGAGAATACCTGACCAATTTGAAAATCTATAGGACGGTGATAGTGAAAGCTGACAAGCAACGAGACAATCCTTTTAAATATCAACTATCCAAAATGTCAAATGTATCATTATCATCCTCGTTCTCATTCATTTTTCCAGGAGCGTGCCGACACGTGATGACCTCTCTTCCTGTGTTGTCCGTTCTTAGTTTAGCATTCATATCATACATTAGAAGTCTGATGTCGCTATTTGGGGACTGTTTGCGGTTATCTATAGAAATCTTCTTCCCCTAGTTCTGCCAGTCACCTAATCATTGAAGGCGCAGAAGTCTGAGAAGGGTTCTCCGTTATAATGCATCTTGCCTCTAGCTCGATGATGAGTTATCTTCCTGAATTATCTGCTCCCAGTTTATCATTGTCAGAAGCCTGTTTAAAGCCTCAACAGGACAACAGACAACTTGATATGTTTCGGAAATCACTTTGAAGTTTCTCGTAGACCTTGCTTTAAAAAATTATTATTAAGTCCACCCTATTTATGTATATATATATATATATATATATATTGCCACACAGAAATTTAAGCGACTAAATACATTAAGATACTTTTTAATCTTACGCTTGTTGCAAGTGATTAGGTGGTTAGTGTATACACCACGCGTAAGGCCAGTAATGCGGAAGCTAGAAGCAGAATTCATCGTGTGCTTGATTATCAATGCATTTCCATTATAAATTTACAGAAGTCTGACGAATACATCTTTTTCTAGGCGAAAGGGATAGTAGACATCAATGCTATGTTTACTTATCTATGGTACATAACAATTTCAATGGTTGAGTATTCTCAATTAAAATGCGTTAGTCAAAAAAAGTAAGTGAAACAAGTTCTACAACGCAGACTTGCATCTGTTTTGCTGTGCTTTCAAATGATCACAGGTTAACGTAAGTAATTCATGAAAAAGCTTTTAGTCGATATGCCAGGACTTAGGAAGTGTAGTAGACATCATATCTGATCATTTCACATACTACAGTAGGTTGCTACAGAATGACCGTATGACATACTTTACCACCTAGTAAATAAACTTGCACAACACTCCTACTGTTCTGCGCAATATAATTCACATATGATTAACAAACGGAATGACAGATTTTGATTCAGTAAAACAAAGATTCACACTACAGGAAAACACATAATATTTCTGATGCTCGGTAAAGTCGAAAAACTAGTTCACTGCACTCTATCAGTCAGCAGTACAAGACAACAGAAGTTACCTGTGTCTGATTGGTTGGTAACCAGTAATAAAAAGTCATCCAAAAATCAACACAAAAACTCAAAATGTTTACCTTTCTTTCGAATCATCTAAAGCATATGGGTCGTCATATAGATGCCTCATGTATAAGTCGACATAACCAAACAGATGAAGGTGAGATTTACAATGTAAAGCTGATGGAAGCCAATTTTGGGGCGGGATAATACCAGGTGGTGGAAGACCGAATCTATCGTGTTAAAAAAAAATACAATCGGTAATCTTTTGGTGATGCAAATAAGTAACGCATAAACTGAAAAGTGAAGTGATAAGTTTATAAAATATCACAAGAAGATTGTCAGATAAGTGTATTGAATAAAGGTTGTTGGGAATTATGGCCGCATCAAACGTTGCAGCCATGTTAATAATCAAAATCTATTCTTTTTTATACAATTGGGAAGTTGTCGAATAAAACAAAAAGCTGTCAAAGCTTTTTCACGTCCACAGATGACAATCTCCTTATGAGCTAATTAAATAAAAAGTATGAAAGGGAAGAGGACAAGGCTTTTCATCAACTGTCACTCAGAATTGTCACTTAGAAAGTGTAACTGAAATAATTCAAGGAATTTGGGAAAAATCGCCTAGATATATTAAAGACAATTTGAATGAGGTTTTCGAGTAATTTATTGATTTTTTAAGAGATTCATAACACTTGCTTAATTCATCATCGAAAAAACCAAAAGACATTAAAGTATATTGTGACTTCCATGACGAACGGAACAGATAATTGTATTTGGTGAAGAGCTACCTAAATATGAGAGCACAAAACCATAACGTCATTTCATGAAATTTGTTTATAATGAACCAACTCTAGGTTCGAACTCATGGGTGCACCATTTTCAAGCCACACTAATAAAGGCTATCAAATACCATCAATGAATGATTCCCTTAACACCAAGCAAAGACAATCAGACAACTTGAAGAATCTTATCACTCGAAACTAGCTGTTCGTCAAAGAATGTTAAATACCCACTAAGAAGGACAATTTCAGAGTGACAGATTCACAACAATTCACCGCAGGCATGAACATGTGCTCATCTCGGGAACTTGATCCATACATACATTCTGTCAGCAGTGAATCTGCCAATTTAAGGTAAACAACTGTTTAATGCTCCGGAGTTCTGATGGCTTCAAGAATAGTTTCAGTTAGTAATAAAAGCTGCAGTTCACTAAAAAATCTTCACAAACAACTGTGTAATGAATAACGCATCTCAAGGACTGACTGAAAGTAATTCATGTGAAATCTTGGCGAAAATCATTAATATCTAAATATTATTATTATTATTATTATTCAAAAAAGAACGAAAATAGACAGGGTTTCCTAACTTATATTTCCTAAAATGTTGTAGACAGAAACTACTGTTTGAGCCTACATATATTACCTACTATTTACAGCTACGTGTTCTATATTAGTGGAAGATAAAATATTGCTCAAGTAACACTTATTGTTGCTTGATTATCACACAACTCAAAACTGTCAGTTGAAAGGAAAAATTGATACAATGTTGTCTGTAGAAGTTATGGTCTTTTAATCATTAGATTCTTGTTAAGAACCATCCTGAATTGTTACATAAACCCCAACACCATTTCAAGTAAGCCTTCAACTTAATGCTGAGCACTTCTGGAAGGAAATGCAAAAATGTCGTAAAGGATTGGGACTCCCATTAACTGGAACAACAGTGTCACATGATATTCCGTCAAGTAATATTTTACTTGAGGATTCTTTACCAAGAGTAGATATTTTGCCATTATATCCGTTGAGAATGCTGCGGTGTGTTAGTGTATGTTTTAGAATACGGCTATTCTTACTGTCAAGTTTACTATTTATAGTAGTAGTAGTAGTAGTAATAGTATTTTTTTATTATTCCATTGCTTTACATAGGGCTTCAAGCTACAGCTTTGAGGTTTCGGTAGCAGTGGTGTTAACTTTAACGGGATGGGGTTGCCAGCCATATGTCCAACCTTCCCTCTATACCAGCCTTATAACCAACTTAGTGAGGTAAAGGAGTGCATCCTCCGGGGATCGAAACCCAAACCTCAAATGTGGCTGGCGAACATTCTACCACTTTACCACCGACGCACATAGTAGTAATCAATAATTATTATTATTATTATTATTATTATTATTACCATCACTATTTATCACTACAATACTGTGTTTCACCTAAAAATTCCAATTTTAATAATGTACATATCAGATGAGGAAATTCAACTTCATCACATTATAGAAAGCAACTGAAAGAATTGTTTGTTGCACTAATCATCATTAGTCTTCATCACGATTTTATACACATTTTTATCTCCAGTTATATCAGTGTGCTGAGGAACTTCACACGACACACACACACACATTTTGCATCAATTAAAAGAAGCATGTGGGAAGAAAACGTTTGCAACTTACCTCATAACTGCATCATTAAACAATTGACGGTCGCTGGGTCCAAAGTTGTATATAAATAATTCCCCTTGGTGCCATTTTACATAATCACCCAAATCACCAACCCTCGCTTTCCACTTATTGTATGTTTCAGCTGTAGGTTGCCAACATTTGGGTTGCAACAAATCACCACCAAAATTACCGCTACCGTTGAGGATAGTGGATGTACGAGTAGGCTGAAAAGGGGATGCATTTTAAAATTATGATAACACCTATTCGAACTTGAATTTTCTAGATATCTATGTCAGATATTATAAAACACCCAGTTCAGTCGACAGACAATGGATTTCATATCCATTCGACGCGCTAACTCAAAACGATACAGGCAAGACAATTGTAGCAGCTATCCATACCAGGTAACCTCGATTCTTGCGGCAAACGTGAAATACGTAACTCGTCCACCATAGCTAAAAGACCACAGTAAGCAACATTTCGAGCAGGCTTTCTTAGAGCTACGGTCAAATATTGAAGCTGAAAAGGTGAGGACTAAATATGTCCCATTTACGATACAAAAGAACAGAGAAGCATCAGAAGTAGGAGCAACAATAAAAACTCAAAGTCAGCCAATTGATCATAAAGCACACCAGTACACTTACTACTTGTTAGAAATACTTTGTTCAGGTGAGATGGGATCAGAGTGAAAATCCACGGAATGATGACAGTTACAATGCAATACATTTAGAAGCGACCGGGTAGACAGAAAAGTAAGAGAGAGATATATTACATGGTAGAATTACTTTGGTTTTCTCAGCGAAGTGGTCAAAACAGTATATTCGAGTTAACACCATATTAGGTAAAAACTATAGCACAACTATCAAACCGCCTACCTACTACAAGCTAAAATGTTTGCAATTCAATTACTGGTACCTACCTAAAGAAGAAACTGAATAAAGTAAAACAGTACTAACCATGGATAAGGAAAAAAAGAGGTTGAACAAATGCCATTTGGGTCGAAGGGTGTATTGTTTACATTCACAAGGTTCATGACGAGGCAACTCAGAGAGACGGAGAGTTTTTGTTTAAAGAAAAGAAGGATAATATGGAGAAATCTATACTCCAACACATGTCGAAAAGGTTGAGATATGATCAATACGCATTCGTCTAGGTTACACGGCTGGCTGCTTGGTTTCCTCAAGTTCGTTTTTCCCGAACCATACTTAGTTTAAACTTCCATCCTTAGAGACCACTTCATTCTCCATTGGTTTCTTAGAGCTCGTTTCCCTAATGACCCTAAATATTTGACAGGTATTACATATTGCCGATGTCATTTTTCTCGTGCCATTATCTTTCCTTCTTCTTACTTATTCTGCGAAAATTTACATGGAAAGATAGAGTACACGAAACATTTGACTAAACTGAACAACTTTCAGATGACTGACAGATTATGCTGAAACTATCAGTACTTGAAATCGACTTAAAGTTTCTACTAATACAAGTGAAAACACCTCACATCTTTAAACTGTGGGATTAAAACTAAAGAAGTTAACACATCTTTTCCCTTGATCAGAGTCAACAAAGAGAAAACAAGGTGAGCATGATAATATATCAATTTTACTCCGTTAGCTCTGGTCAACTGCACACAACTTAAAACAGTATCAATGTACAAAATAATCGCCACATATTCTAATTGTTTGGTTTGAACATGCCAACTGAACACAAGAAGAATTACAAGAACGGAACTACAGTTATCGGTATGCCTGTTGGTACACAGACCTCATTAGGGGTCAAATATCTACGTCGAGAGTAAGAGTGAAGGCATGTAATAAATTAGGCGGTGTGAAATGACACTGTCAAAACTAACCAAATTTAAAGCAATAAAATTGAAGTAAAGTTCTTTCACGATGGTATGAAAATAATATTGACAACAGTGTCACCCACCCCAACACCACTACATCCAATGCACAAAGGTGGTTTTTAGTCGTTTAATAGCTACGTCTTCGGAGATACTCAGTAAACTGAAGCTAACTCAATTATCTTAAATATCCATTTCGTGGGGTACTATCTATTACATGATGAGCGACTGCACTCCTAAAGAAATTTGCACTTTCCAGTTACAAGATCCTTGAAAGATACGCCGGCATGCAGTTATTATCCGTTGTCTTGTTGATTTGATATATATGCCAAAGCATACACATGTTAATTGGCGCATATACCATTGAAATTAAATGCGCTTATGACTTTTCAACATTAGACTGCCTCAGTAAATAACTATTCTGTAGAATGTGACCAACCTGATAGCAAAATAAGATCTTTGGTGGGCATCATTGATTCATTTAATTCTTCCAAATACCTCATTCATTACCTTTGAGTTAAGAGTTTAGGAGAAACGGTTTCTTCTCAACTGTATTAAGACTGGACACTCATGGGACTTTGACATGGAGATAGAATGATAGGAATCAGCTAGCGATTATACCTCAGTCCCTTCTCTATGAGATGATGAGGCAATGCAACCAACTAGCACTCTCAGTGACCTAGACCGGAATATCACTGAATGGCTTCTGCAGTGTTAGTTCAGTCTATCTCCACCTTCTCGGGATATTTTCGAAGCGGTAGGTTCCTGGCAGCTTCGTTCTCAGAGTTCCCAGTTTCTAATCTTTCCTGCCGTCTCATCTTCAGTATGGAGCGAAATCAGTTGTTTATAGAAGTCTGAAGACTGCTGGAACTGATTCAGTTGATACACTGAGTCTCTGAACCACAGAGAAGAATTGACTTAACATTAGTGTTGACAATCCTATTCTTAACTGATTAAAAATACTCATTAAAATTCTTCACCAGAAAGGTTACTGAACAAAGAATATTCTTTTCGATAACTTCATCATCAGCTCCTACATGTATGTATACATAGAAAAGTGAGTTAATTAGTGACCTTAACAACAACATTAATGTTGTTCATATAACATTGAACCAATAGTAATAATAATGATATCAACGGATTACAACAGTCCGATAGCCTCAACATAACAATACACTGAATATCAGATAATAATACAAATTCATGGACTTATGGTCTCTACTGAAGGCCAGGGCAGTAGTAGTAGTGGTAGTGGCTGGACTTACTTCTTTTGCACACAAAGCACTGGTTTTTTCATGCGAATCGCGATAGCCTCCGCTGTTTGGAGTATGCGGTACCTGGATGTTTTCGGCAATTTATCTAGCACTCGGTGGAAGATAGAGAAGGATTCTTCAATGCTAGATTTGTGGTCGGCCAGTTTGGATCAGGTGGTCTAATATCGAACTGTTGATGGTTTTTACTACACCTTTACTTAGTCACACTGGTACATGTTCACCAGAGAGCAAGAAAAATCAAGTTCCTAGAGCAACTGCCAATATAACTCGCTCCACAAGCGCAGTTAAAATTGGTAGATACAATTAGAAGTGGCTAGTCTAGGTACTTGTGCTTTCAATCGAGGAATCACCATCAGTCATGTGGGAAATATGACTTGTAGTTTACCAGCATTAAAACTTCTTTGAATAGATTTCCTTAACTTGTCACTGGGTGTGTCACACCCCTTAATTGCAGTCGTAAAGGCTTCTTATTGACAGATGGAGAATAGTCCTTTTCTGCTTTCTTGGTCATGTGTTTCTTGATGGACTTTTCAGGATAGCTATCCTTAATTAGGGTGTCATATGCAATCCTTACTTCATCTTCAATTACCACGTCTCGGCATATAGCTCTAACTCTGTGGCTGAGGGTCCTTACTAAATTTCTTTTGTACTGGAGAGGAACGAAGCTATGAAAATGTGTATACTGTCCTGTCCATGTGCTTTCCTTAAGCAAATTTCTCTTTGTACTACCACCTAGTTTTCTTGTAAGCAGGACATCCAGGAAGGCAATTCTATTTCGGGATTCGTCTTCACACATGAATTTTATACCAGAATAAACTTCATTGAATTGAGTTATTATTGTGTTCCTATCCGAATCATTATCACAAAGAATAAAGGTGTTATCCATATACCGGCAATGAAGTGAGAATTTTCTGATAGGGTTGTTCAAAGGTCCCTTTTCTAGTTTACTTGGAAAAAAATCTGCCAAAATGGGATCCAATAGGTAGTGCATCACCACTACCCCATCCACTTGTCTGTAGTGTGCCATCAAATTTGAAATCTTCATTCATGGTTCCTCCAGCTAACTGCAGCAGATTCATACACTGATATCACAGTCTGTCTCGCCTTTCGATCCTATCTTCGACATCCTTATCTGTGATGTATGTAGTTGAAACGGTGTTGCCTAGATAGGTGAAATAATTAACTTCCTTCAAATTCTTCCCGTTGATGGTGATCGGTGATTGTTATTGTTACGTATCTTCATTCCCTTCTGCTTATCTACAATAACTCTGAGTCCAGTCTTTGATGCTTCTTCTACAAATTTGTTGGCTTTTGCCTGCACGTCTTCCACTTTGTGTGAACTTATCCTGGAAACTGTTTCAACACTAGGGGGTTGTACTAAATCTTTATCAATTTCAATCAACTCCTATATGATGATGTAACATGTCAATTGATTCATAACGGAACACTCAGCGAAGCCCTCGATTTGGTGACAGGAGTAAGTCTACTAGCACCGATGATATTCTTGATTTTGGTGGATCGGATAATGTGGCATGCCATGGGGAAAGATGGTAATCGTGTCAGTTTTATAACTAAATACCATTTTCCAGTTTTGGTTTTCAATCTCTGATTAAACCTTGTCTCTGTTATTATGTTATTTATGGAACTAAACAGTTTAGCTAAATGACACTAATGCACGTGGCCATGATCCCGCGTCCTAATGCTCCGTCACAACAGTTTTACCCGATAAGTATAACTGCGTCATTATGTTTTTATGAGGAGTAATGGTTCTACAATGCAGAGCTTTTCAAATAATTCTTGATACAAAAAAGCTGAAAGACCTGGTGGGATATCATATGCAATAGTTTAGCAAAACATATGACAGCAAAAAGTAATATTCACCTAATCAAAAAGAACTGAACAAAAATTAGTTTCAAATTGTTTTCTAACAAAAGCTTCATAAAGAATTAGCAATAATATAAAGGAATTACAATCGCCACATCACTCGAATGTCATAAGAGCGAGGAGAAATTAAAATTAACTTGCAATTAGAAAACTAAGCCAATAGTTTACGTTTTAATCCGGCAGGATAACAGCATAATAGGAAAGTGACTAACACATAGTAATTTCA